CAATTGCTTTGGTGCGTAATCGCAAAGTGACCAGCTGAGCGCTTTAGTCAAGTATTTTAAGTTGCTTTATTTCTCTATAATGAGCCGTTAGATTGATCAATTAGATTAAAATTTTGATACACCCATAACAGTCAATTGCCCCTTATCCCTATATATGTCTAATGACTAAACCCTAATTGACCATGAATTTGCACTGAAGACCAGAAGTCGCTGCTTCGTTGATTTGTTCGGATGATATAGAAGGATATGAATCTAAGAATAATAAAGATGAGGGGGAAGAGGACGATATAGAGAGATATGAATCTAAGGATAATGAAAATTATTTGATTGGTGATAAGGATGATTTTTAAGTCCTCGAGATTTGTGAAAGCATTAGGCTAAATGTTTAGTTGTTCGAATTGTGTATTTTACGTTTTTAAATATTAGGGTTTGGGATATTATTAAAAAAATTTTTTTCAATTTAATGTTTATGCTATGTTTACCGTTAAGATTTGAGATTATTAGCGTCTGTTTGAATTTAAATGTTTATGGTTTTGGTTGCATTTAAATATTTAGTATTTGCGAAGTTAGAACTTGAATATTTAGAAATAATCAAACTAAAATATTTACTTTTTTGTTATCCTATTCGCTTTGCTTCGATAAAGCGCTCGCTACACTTCTCGCTTAGGCCTCAAGAGACCGGTTTGCTTCAGTTGATTTTACGCCTTAAATAACACTGGTCCAGAATACTGAATTGTCATAAGGATAACACTAAGTACAAGTCAAATTATCAATATGTTGCAGTGGCTTCTTAATGTCAAATCCATGGTTGTTAGTATCTTACAATACACGATTTAACATATACTATACGTTTTAATATAGGAGTAAATGATACATTTTTATCTAAGTGTACTGTTTTACAATGTATCATACAATTCATGATATGTACTTATAGTCTCATACGATACTATTCAGTACACGATACACTTATAAGTTCAAAAGGGAGAAACTAATAAAAAGAGGGAAAACAATAAATGTTCTCTTTAATTTTCATATATATTTTTTAGTTTGTTGACACTCATTCAATCATTTTAATATGTTATCTAACTTATGCTGTCTGGAGCCTATAAAATTTTTGTCAAGATTAAAATGTGGTTCATAGGAATATAAGAATGGATTGTTCTTTATGCGAATCTTTAAATTTTGGTGTTGATGAATTATGTTGTAAACGTGAGTCGTTCAATTTTGTTTTGAAACAGAGTCTTTTTAATCTTGTATGGAATTTAAGTTGGAATGTTATCCATATTGTTTTGGAACTATACAAATACGTTTTAAAAAAAAAATTAAGTGTATCTCATGATACATGATACGTCGCGATACACAATATACCATTTTAAGAAAATGATATGCACTACAATACATGCTATGACGACCCTAGTCAAATCCATCTTGGAATCCAAATTGGTGTAGTGTATCAATATCCAAAATCAAGGTCTTCCATAGCAAGTGGAAAAGATTCCCCACAGATTAGCTGACACAAACCGAGAATTTCGCACAGCTGGTTCCAATCTATCCCCCTTGGAGCAAGAGAGGGAGGGGAACATAATATCTGTGACTATTCCTTATTTGTTTGGAGACATGCTAAATAGCCATAATAGCTCCCTTATATTCAACACCATCCATGAAAATTTCATATAAATTTTCTAATGTGCTGGATTTTGAGGGAAAGGAAGTGATGAAGTATGGAACACAATCAAAAGGCCATTTTAAGGGATGCAAACTAAGATTCAAGAATCTGAGTTAATGTGTGATTGTTTAGGCAAAACCTTGTTAACAATCAAACTTATTAATAGTTATCTATATACACTGGGGTAGAGCCAAGATTCTATATTGGAGGGGAAAAATAAGAAATTCCTAAATTTAAGCACGAGATAGAACCAACATCAATTCAACCTTAACAAAACATAAATATGAACACAATGATGTTGCAAATCTCAAAAATCGTCTTTAATTAATTAATTATTTGCTAAATTTCTTAGCAATCGTCGTTAATTCAGCCTTAACAAAATATGAATATGAACTCAACGAGGTTAAAAATCTCAAAAATCGTTTATAATTAACTAATTATTTGTTAAATTTCTTATCAATCTTTTTTTAATGTACAAAACCAAATAGTTCATGATAAAATCAACATTCATCTTATTGTGAAGCCTAGTTGAGATCATTCAGCATCTACTACAGAAATTGATTCTTTGGAAAACATAAACGTTTTTGCTTAATTATATTTATCTTTTGCATCTATGAGCCACAAATTTAACAAAAATAATAAGGGTCATCTATACAATTGTTTTTAAAAAATAAGGGGCAACATATTAAATAACAGTATTGTCTTTGGTCTATATCTACAATGGTTAGGACGTTTCATATTTGTTTTACTCAGTCCAAAAAGAAAATATTTGTTTTACTAGATAAGGGGACAAGTGGATCACTGACTTACTTAAATAGAAAATATTATTGAATTACTTAAACAGAAAATATTATTGAGACCACTATATAAGTTTTCAATAACTTAAGGGGACAATGTAGTAAATTCAGCATAGTTATGATTCGTAACATTGAATATGGAGGGTATATAGAAGACTACCCAAATGGAGGCAAATCTCTGCCCCCCCCCCCCCCCTGGGGGGGAACATGGCTCTGACATTGTCTGTACAATTTGCTTCGGCCACCATTCTTGTCAGTATCAGTAAGACATAGTTTCATGATTGCAATTGACCAAGATAATGCTCAGAACCACAGACATATACAAAAACTAATGTTAAATCAAAATGATGAATCATATAATAGAACACCTAAAAACAATCTGCTTCACACTTGCAATAGAATTAGTCCCAAGGCTGTCAAAATTGAATAGGATGGCAATGTAAGCAGTGGTAAACAAAAATAAATTATTTTCATGTCCATGCAATATCAAACACCTCAATTATCATAGAAGTAATAATGTACTGAAGTTAACCATTCTTAGGGCAATATCACCTTAAAAGCTTAAATTGATTGACTTTAGACTAGCAAGCAAAAAAGATTGATAGCTGCCCACCTTCATTAAGCAACTGATAAAGTGTAACAACATCCCCGCCGGAACAGAATGCTTTGCCACTACCCTTGAATATATTCCAATCATAGTTTAGATTCTTAACCAAACTCACTTTTCAACAGTTTCAAAATATTTTATAACAAAAATGTGTTTGTTACCTTCATTATGACAAATCCAATATCTGGGTTTTCCTCCCAAGACTCATACAGTCTCTTCAACCGAGCCGCCTGTAATGAGAAACAAACTCAATTCACAACTTCCACACATGGATATGAAACAAAGAACATTGTCAACAAAAGCCACAAATAAGAAATGATAATTCTGCAGGAAAGAGAATAAACCATAGAACTAGTGAGAGCGTTTAGTGCAGTTGGTCTGTTGAGTATGGCTGCTCTTGAATTAGCTCTTCCTTCAACCAAAACCTGAAAGCACAGACATTTTAGGGGCCCAGAAAACCAAAAACCAACACACCCACACAAACACAAACAAAAACAAGGGTTTCTTCAAAGATTTAAACTTTTTTGAGAAAGTAACAGACGAAAGATAACTATTGAAGTCAAAGAAGCGCATTTAAAAAAAAATTTAAATCGGTTTTGTCTAAAATTGACCGGCAGCATATAGAATGTGTGTGGGTGTCTGTGCACTGGCCTGTTCTTGAATATCATCGTATTGGGCATAGTTGAGTTGAGCAGAAAAGCTTCTGTTATGTAAGACAAAGCCATGTCTGTGCAAGGAACGCCTCACTGGCAGCAAGACTCTCAGTCCCTGCATTTTCAATCAATCTTTCTCTCTCTCTTGGAAGAGCTCTTTGTTGCGGCTATAGGCCTCTCTATATGTTACTGGAAGTCTTCTTTGCTCTGTGAAGCGCGCTGCTTTTGGAAACCGTACGAAACCAAACTCTTAACTAATTTTGAGAAAAAAAAAATGATAAAATTTTTGATTTAAGTATGCCCCTTTCTAATTGAGAAATTCAAATTTATAAGAAAAAAAAACTAAAATTTAATTGATTACAAATTTAAATTTTAAAAAAATAAAATAAAATACGATTATTGAATCTTTAAAGAAATGTTAAATCTGTCCATTAAATATTTGCATATGAATTTGAGTCTCTTCGAATAAAAAAAAAAAAGAGTCATATGGGCATGGTTCTAATATTTGAAAAGGTTTTTACGAGTTTTTCACCGAAATTTAAATTTGAGTTTTAAAAAAAGTTAAAGATTAAAGATGCTCTAACTATTCATAACTTTCTAGTGCTAATTTTTATTTTTATTTTTATTTTTTTGTTACAAAGTATAAAAATTTACGTCAATTACTCGAAACTTATTTATAAGAGAATAAGTTTGACCACTCAACTAGTTAAGGACTTTGCTGGTGCTAGTTATTGGTTAGAGTGTTAATCAACCCAGAGCTTATGGAGTTCTCAAATGTTCGGACGGAATTTGATTTTGACTTGTCAAGTTCTAGTTTGGGCAACCAGTAAGCTTGATCTTAAATGTTTGCTCAAACTTACCCAGCAAAAGTTGGCAAGCATTTGAACAAATTTTTTCAACAAAAAACTTTCAAAATATGTATAATCAACATAGGTTTAGACCCTCAAAAATTGAATTTCTCAAAAATAATTAGATAAAAGAGAGTGAGAAGTGTGTTTAATTTGGATAGTATATTTAATCTGGACTCTGGAGCTATTTAAAATTATTCATCTTTCAAATAATAATTTTTAGTAATAAAATTACAACTACTTAAGTAAATTTAAAACTAACTTTTAGCCGAATCACATTACACAAATTTGACAGACTTATGAAAGATGGGTTACAGCTAAGAACACATTTTCTTTATGAGCAATGCTATAAGAACCTTATTTGGGAACCTTACTTAGAGATTTAATGCAACCATTGAATTAGTTGTGAATTACAACGTTAGATGGAATCCACAATTAATCTAATAGTTATACATCATTAAATTCCTGAACAACGTTCTCAAATAAAGTCCAAATAATATTTTCCTTTTTTTATTTCTGCTCCTGGTTGACTCTACTTTTGTGTAGTGTAGCATTGTACGGAAGAAAAAAACAAGGAAAGAAAAGAGGACCTATTCTGAGAGGGGGAGAGAGTCTTTTATACTGGCCTGTTACAAGTGCCAGTCTCTTTCTCAATATGATCAGGTTAAATAAGTTCAGTTTATTCTTCTGTAGCTGGTTTTTGAAAATGAGTTCTAAGGTGAAAACTTGGCAATTTAAAGCGCATGCAATCAACTCAGTCGTGTAACTATGCAGTCGGAATCTTCAGGTCTTCAATCACTTTTGTAGCTACCTCTTTCTCTTATTTTCAACTTGTTGCCAACAAGTTCAAAAATTTCATCAACTTGAATAAGCACGAGCTTCCTCCAATGATTCAACTGGAACAGCATATGGTGAATTCCAATCAGCATCAAAGATTTCTTGAAGTTGCAAAATAATGGCAGGATTGTATGTCCCGAAGCTGACACCCGCTGTCGTATAGAAATAATCCCATATCAGATTGCTGGTTCCAATGTGGGCTCGCACATCGCTAACTGTGTATTTTCCATGGTTGACTCTAGTAAAGCCCGGATAAATATTTCCAGTGCTTGTTCCATTCAGATTAGCAGGTCCAGTCAAATTAAATCCAGGCACCATGTAGTATTTGATCTCAACTTTGCCAGAACATTTGTTGTACTTTGAGGAAGAGCATAGGGTATTGGAGTAGAGAAGAGACTTCAGATACTGATCTGTGTTGTTGATATAATGTGCCCAATATGCCACTAATATCTTGACCTCTGCATGCTTTGAGAAGATAACCTACAATTCAGAAAACTGGTTAGAAGGTCAAGATTTCAAACTCTGGATAGATATACAAAATATGCATAAATGGGCACCAAGAGGATCGGCTAGTCACTTTGTTCAACAGAACAAGATAGGTTATCTGGACTCTGGAGGTACAACTAGAATAGTATGATTATCCTGTTTTCCATGGTAAAGTCTCAAATTCATTTTGTCATAGTGGTAGGTCTACAGGAACATTTTAAGAATTTTCAGCTTGTGTGGAACTTTTCTTATGTGATTGCACCATCTCTGCCTATAACCAAGAAAAAATTGGCAGTATTCCAAAGCCTAGAAATTAAGATCGTATGCAGTAATGCACTTAGTCATGAAACACAGCCTCACTAAATTTCAAATATTAAACACCAGAAAATTAGTGCCATACGACCATCTAATTAATTTATGACACTTACCAATACTATACATGCATATTCTGCAAGGTCTTGGCAATTCATGAGAACAGTAGCATCAAAAAGCATGAAGTGTCATTACTTATAATCTCACTTTTAACCAATTCATCTTCTTTTTGACTTAACTACACCGCATCAAAGATCATTAGCTGCTTCCAATTCTATTAGTCTTTCTGACATACACAGCCTACAGCTCGAATGGTTAATATGTTCCTGCATTGAGAGGGCTAAACAGACGAATTACAGGTCACAAACTATACCATGCAGTGGGTAAAGCAGTAACAATGTAATTTCCTCACACTATTTCTTCCAAACGTTAATGTTCAGATTATGCAAAGAAAAATGAATTAATGCTTGATTCACCACTGCAAATAAGGTTAAATTACTTCAGGCTGATGCTAATAGTTCGAGAGAGTGCTTCCGAATACAGGAAACATGAGTAGCTAAGTTAATTGAATGCCAAAAAGTTCCAGAATAATCAATCCTGTACTACTGACACAACATTGTTGCAGGTCCCATGTCAGATCTTACTCATGAAGGCTCTATTACGCATTATAGATATTTTGTAATTATCTCAATATTTTGCAATTATCACAACAAGCATTTTAAAATTTCATGCAATGAGATTTTCTTCCATTTTTTAATTTGGCACTAAATGCAGCCCATAAGCTAAGGTCCAGCCCTATTAGAGCTGTCAGCTGGCCAACAAATTTTCACTGGCAAAAAACTCCCCAAGGTAAAGAAAAGCAAGATAAAATACGGATTTGTAAGAGGCACATTATCCTTTCTTCAAAAGAATATATCATTGCTTCTTCTTCAGCGATAAAATCACACCTAATTTACCATGAGTGCCTGAGTGCATCTCCATAAACAATGAAAATAATTTAGCCCTCTAAGCTCAATATGTATTAAACAAAGGCCACTCAAGTAAATTTACCTCACGCACAGCCAGGTAAAAATATACAGGTGTGAGATACAAATGTGCGTAACTTGAAATTCGGAATTTTTAAACAAAATAAAGTGATTGAGAACTGTAAAAATGGCAAATATGTTCTGATTACTTTCGGAGTCATGTTTATATGCTTGAATATATGAGATGAAAATCACAATATAAAGAGAATGGCAAACAAATAAGAAAAATCTTGAAGCATTTGTTGAAATATTAACATAAGTTGCAATATAAGCCACATAGCTTGCCTCCTGATTTCAACAGTTCAACTCAGGGGTCAACCATCAAAATCCTTACTGCATAATGCAGAGGCCAGCCCTCAGGATGTAAAGTCAAAACAGAACAAAACCTGGTCAACAAAATAATTTCAAGAAACCGCAAGTTACCTCTGACACTGCTGAAGAAAGGGTCGACCAGTAAACTGTTTGGTTTGTGTACTGGGATTGACCAAGCCAATCCATAGTACTAATTCTAACAGACGCCCCTATTCCTACAGATTTAATTGTGTCCACCCATGCCTGTTCATCAGTCAGGTACTTGCCAAATGACAGCTGCAGTTCAGAAAGTAAATCAGAATGAAGCAGAAAACAATGACAAACGGACACCTGAGACATCATTTGGCAGAACTTAAAATTTTTGATTAAAAGTATTTAAATCAATCATGAGATAGCATTAACGACCATGCAGCCTATGTTTGAAATTGTCATGGATCATCAGAATTGTTGCGGTGTCATTGGATTAATCTCAAAAGTAAAGTCAATTATTTACAAGTAGATGTCTCGAAAATGACTTAGAACACAACATCTATACTGTTCAGTCACCAAACTTAGCATGGCTAGATTTTTGCCCCTTTTTGATCTTTTGAGCATTTAAAGAAAGCCTACAGCAGATTATTGGATCAAATAATGATAGAATCCAATCCCAACCTAGTGTTTATAATATCTTTTTACATAATCTGACTTAAATGAGTTTGCCATAATAGTTGAGAAAAGAACAAGCAGTTTCTGGACACCCTTTAGTTCTTGCAGTAAGCAAATACCTATTGGTTAAGCTAGCAAAATGTTTGGCACCGGCCACTGACCTCTGGAGGAGCAAATGAGAGATAGCCAAAATGAGGATGCAAAGAAGAATTGTTGCTTCCAGGAGTTTCAATTGCCATTTGAAACATGTCAGGGTCCGACAATACAGGATAGCCTGCTGTGTGGGGAACCTCCACGTATTGAGGAAGAGGTGATCTGTCATTACAAAATGCTGTACCATCAACAACATTTCCAAGGATGCAAGAACATCTTAACTTCATGCTTTGTTTTCTTACCAATAAGACCAGTTTAGGAGAAGTATAGGATACTCCTACAAATTAAGAGGAACAATGATAGCAGTATGTAATATAAGATTAGACAAATTAACACTAGTAGGGCTTATATTTTCAAATATTTCATCTAAGATAGCTTTCAATTCTAAAAAGTGTCTCTACATATATCAATCTCCCAGAAATTAGAAAGATAATTCACTGGAGCAACTCAGTCAACAAACCATAGAATCATAAAGATCCACTGTAACATAATGGTAGGTTAACCAGACAACTTTGCATTGTAGACAGATGACTGTGTTGCTCGATTTTCTTTTTGGTATCATTATGTAATAGTCAAATAAGCAGGTCTTCCAGCGTCCTTGTGTGTGGAAGTGACTCTAGGATCAGAGATTCCATTTAGGACACAAAATATGGTAGTCTGTGTCCATTGTCCCCTGAGTGACTATACAGCTGTTGGAGCTTTGCATTAGCCATCCACCATGTCCTTAATAATGTTTCACCAGGCAACTAAATTGTTTCAAGAAGCATCTTGCGCTTCAGGATTCTTAGATCAAAAATTAAATGGGTGCATCTTCTCACCTAATGCTTAGTAGGACATGAACACTTACCCAATGGGAATGTCCAATTAAGTGAGTAAATGAAAAGAACTAAACAAGCAATGCATGCTATGTCATATTAGCATATCATTTTAGTAATTATCAGACCAACAGTATAAAATATGTATGAATGAGTGTAGAAAATTAGTCATGCCTCATATTCTAGCATTTGGAAGTTAGATACGATGAGCCAACAATTAATTAACTAGCTTATACGTATTTATTCAATATGCATTCTGATACAATTAAGAAGAAAATAAGGCAAAGGTTGGGCATACATATCTGACAATAACAATTTTGTGCAAAAAATGCTAAAGGTTTGGTTTGTACCCAAGCTACGCATCCAACATCCTCGATTAACGGACATCAAATTGGGAAAAGACCTTCTCCTTATTAATATGCAGTAAAAAGGAAATCTTCTAGCAATGAGTACAGCCATGCTTGTAAATGTTGCCAATCACCCGCAATGTAGAGGATGCCAAAGGTTTATTCTTAACACATTACTAATGTATTTTCATCACCTAGATATGGATTTCATATAAATGTTTAGGAAAAATTCAAATTTTCAATGTTCCCCCTTAATCATATTTATTTCCTAATCCAAACTATTAAAATAAGGACACTCTCAAAAGCTCGGGTCAAGACTAAACCAGAAGTTGGTGTGTAGGCAACCAATCTAATAATGCTTCTTATGAAGATGTGTTTCAAGTCATTTGAGTAGGGACACTAGCAACCTTTTTCTGGATTTGTGGCGGTGGCAGGAGAGTATTCCAGAGCTAACAATGAGACCTAGGAGGCAGCGACCGTAGTTTACAAGTCAGGAGGTGTAGTTCCAAGGAACATACATAAAATATACCATGATACTCTTAACTTGTTCACTGTGTGGAAGCTCCCGAGATATTATATCCAAACATAGAGTTTCATATGACATTTAAAGAGACCGCTAGACAAAGTAATGAAGCTTGTCAAAGGCATCATTTCCAGAAGACGCGAATATCCTAAGTAGCAATTTGATATGAATGTTCTAATACATGGTACACTTTCATTTCAACACACTTAATTTGGATATCCATAGCTAGAATGGTACAAAAACAAGGATCTTGTGACATCCAAACATGAATTTTCTAAACAAGTTACATAAAACAAAACAAAAAGAAAATACAAAATAAAAACTTAAGTGAATTATTTTCATGTGCTATAGTGTGAATCACTTGACACTGATACAAACTGCAAGTATGCAGAAATGACCCATAAAGGATTTCCTCCAACTACTTGATCAACAGTTGACAAAAGTTCAAGAAAACCATGCGTAAGGACCATTATTTTGGACTTTCAAAGTACTCAAAGATGAAACTACATGTATGCTACAGATATGATCTATTCTTATTTCTTAAAACCCTCTCAGAAAAATCCGACCAGCATTTGACAGCTAATCTGATACATCCAAGTGAAATCTCAGGCAATAAGGAATATTCAAAGAGACCAGATATCAAAATGACATGCCGGAGTTTTTAGGTACACAAAAACAGTAGAAGCATAAGCAAGTGGCGACCCTGCATGAACAAGATTTACAGAAGGTAGCAATTGTGCACCATTCCCAGTGATTCAGATAGAATAATTTAGATTTAGATGGCTACGCACAAAACTACACATCTAAAACAGAAAAACACTTTGACCGAATATGGTCCTAAGCAGAGGTTTTCTTTGTCATACCTACACCTTTCTTTTAGCTAATCTGATACATCCAAGTGAAATCTCAGGCAATAAGGAATATTCAAAGAGACCAGATATCAAAATGACATGCCGGAGTTTTTAGGTACACAAAAACAGTAGAAGCATAAGCAAGTGGTGACCCTGCATGAACAAGATTTACAGAAGGTTGCAATTGTGCACCATTCCCAGTGATTCAGATAGAATAATTTAGATTTAGATGGCTACGCACAAAACTACACATCTAAAACAGAAAAACACTTTGACCGAATATGGTCCTAAGCAGAGGTTTTCTTTGTCATACCTACACCTTTCTTTTAGCTAATCTGATACATCCAAGTGAAATCTCAGGCAATAAGGAATATTCAAAGAGACCAGATATCAAAATGACATGCCGGAGTTTTTAGGTACACAAAAACAGTAGAAGCATAAGCAAGTGGTGACCCTGCATGAACAAGATTTACAGAAGGTAGCAATTGTGCACCATTCCCAGTGATTCAGATAGAATAATTTAGATTTAGATGGCTACGCACAAAACTACACATCTAAAACAGAAAAACACTTTGACCGAATATGGTCCTAAGCAGAGGTTTTCTTTGTCATACCTACACCTTTCTTTTGGATTGAGAAAATGTGACCAACACGGAACTTTTCTATTAACCTGCCACTGTTGATCCCATACAGTTTTTGTGTAAGCTGAAACATCAAGATGTGCAAGTTCCCATAGGTTGTTATAGTAGACCTCAACATTCTCTGCTATTCTTGGGCAACCAACAAGATAAATTCCAACTTCCTTCACCTGAAAACAATAATAACGAAATTGCTCAACTATCAACCAAACTCTGGGAAAACAGAATATTATTAACAGATAAATAGCTATCTAAGTATGCAACAACAAAGTTCTCCAAAATGCGTTAATACAAGAGATGTTATTATGCCCCACAAGATATTACATACAATCACACGAAAACTTACAGTAATACCCCAAATCAATAAAAGAATTAACAAAGTAATGTTTAATTACCTGATTTATCCACCGATTAAGTGTAACAAAATTAATCTATTGAATATAATGTGGATTCAAAATGGACTATAAATTAGAATGTTAATCAGATCAAATTCTAAGTTGCGGTTACTTTTTATGTGGAAAGAAAGTAAAAGTGGGGTTATAAATTAGTAATTAATTTATATTCAAAACAAATAGATGATAAGCACCGAAGAGAAAAAGTAATCATTGCGATAATTTAGCCTTGTAAAGTGTCAGTTATGTGATTTGGTTGATTTGTATTAAATAATCACAATCCTTTAATACATTTAACTTTGAACTGACAAATTTTAGGTAATAACCTATAACGCTGCAATAAAAGGATTTGATTGGGTTATTTAGATGGGAAGTGTCGTGATATTAGTGTAAACTATTGAAAGTGGGAGGTGGTGACCTATTAGGACTAGATTACATGTGATTAAATGGAATACTATTGTTAGGTATAGAGACCACAGAAAAGTGACGACTAGAGAAGAGTTAGAAAGATAGGACTTTTGGTTTGCAGATCAATGGGTAAACCATGTTCGATTACAAAGAATATTTAGAAGGCTATTCTTGACATTGAGAACTCTATAGATACGACGTCAGTTCAAATGGTAAGTGGTTTATCTCATAATATGCATCATTGATCAATCTCTTTTCAAAGAATACTTTATTTTGTTGTCTTAATCGTGTTTTGTTCTTCCGTTCAATTGTTAATGTTTCGATATTCGTTTATATTTTCATTTGATGTATCGTTGATTATTGTGATGAAAATATTTTTGTTGGTGAAGTGTTTCAAGACCTATCGGCACATGCTACAAGTGAACTCGGTGGCATGACTATGTAGTGAGATGCGATTGTGGCCCAGAAGGCCTTTTGTGACAATGGGATGTACTGAGTGACCCCTAGCATTTTGCTGAGATGAATTGGGTATGAAGTCCTGCGTAATTTGAGGATTTGAGTATTGAGTTTTGTACGGTTTTATTGAGTGTGTTTAAGATAAATACTTTTTTTTATCATGCTTTTGTGATTGGTTGTTCGGTTATCGTTTGGCCCTTTGTTTCTGTATATTGTGTTGTAAATTGCTTATATCGGGCCTACCAAGCTCACCCCCATTTATCCCAATCAAATGCTAGCTTAGTTTGTGATGGGAATCAATAAACAAACAGATTAAGTGAGGAATTAGTAATTGTAATTATTTATTGAAATAAAAAATGTAATATTCGACATCAATTGTAATTTTAATGTTTGGAGATTTATCAATTATTGAGGATTTTTAATGCTTTGTATTGATTGGAAATAGTTCGCGCACCAGACTCCGGAGTTCGAGTTCAGGGCATGACACGTACCCTCAAATTTGGGAATTTTAGATACATTAGCTTAATGGCCAGGTGGATTTATGCATGTTTCTATATCAGCATTCTAAGGACAAACACCATCGGTTAACATGGCTTATTCATGCAACATATGAGGTGTTCGCCTGAAATATATAGTTTCATGCCTCTACAAATTTAAGCTTCTAAGGAAGTCATTGTTAATAGGAGTGCACATCGAAGAAGAATAAAAAAGTAACCCCTCATTGATGTAGGTGAAATACAAGGTAATTGATGGAGAACCATATTTTAATTTATCTCACATTTAAAAAAGGTGTCAAAATAGTATAGGAAGGAAAATGAATAGTTTTGCAAAACTAATTTTTCATACCTTGTAGGTGGTATTTTGTTGTATCTACCTTTGAGATCTCTTGTGTAGGATATCCTATTTGTTAGTAGTATGCCCAAAAATCAATCTACTAACAACATTCATTTATTAATTAAATACAAGGACGAGTTAATTTTTCATGTTATTAACTATTTTCATTTTAACATGCATTATAAAGTCAATAGAGTATAAATTAAGAAGATAGTTTATCAAGATGTTGAAAAAAAGAGACTTATACTTCTTGGCATACACTATGTTTGCTTATATTTGATATGAGGTGACTTGTCAAGTCACTAGCGGACACTGAAACAGATGTGTGAGTGCTTGTTAAATAATAAGTACACCGAACGTGACCATTGACTAACGTAGGATTTCTCAAATTGAGTTTTACATACCTATTAATGTTAAATCATAAAATTACAATTATGCAACTGATCCTTAAACTTCAAACACCATGGTTGTCTTATGGATGGATTTCTATGTTTTACCAACACAACGTATTTATATACTAACCATGGAATTTTGATATGTATTGTTGGTTATAGTTAAACATATTTGGAAGACTTATCAGTGTACAACATAGAAACTACCACCCGTAGTAAATAAAGGGAGAATGTCTTATGATCTTCTAGGATATAACTCAAGGAGTCCTTGGCCAAGACAAAATGACAATTAGAAAAGAGTTTCTAATTGAACATTAGGAGTCATAGTCCTAAAATTAAACGAATAAGATTGAATTAGGGGTTTGACAACAATTTCATACCTTAGTAATTCAATTAGGGCATTGCGTGATAAAATGATTGAATTGCATAGTAATTGTAGACTAAATGGGTTTTTTACCTATTTCGCGCTATCCGGAGGAAATTGACCATGATATGTTGCTAAGTGTTACTCATGATTAGTAGAGGCCCGAAGAACAAAATTAATATAAATGTATTAATTGTTCTTCATAAAGGGAGAATTAGAAGAGTTATAATTCAAGCTAAATTAGAAAGAGTTCTAAATTGAGATGATACTTGTAGTTAGTATAAAATGCCTACAATCGGGTATACTTGAACCTATAGGGACACACAGTAGAATTGGTTGGAAACTAAATGATAAAGGAGAAAAAATCAATTAAGAGTTAATTGGGGTGAAAACCTAATTAAGAGTTAATTAGGGCCTTCATTACAATTAATGGTTAGTAAAAGGTTATATGCAATTATGAGAGAATTACAACTAGACCCAAACCAGGATTAGAGTCTTCGAAGGCTCCATAATACCTTCATGTAGGAGGTGGATATAATATATAATAACTCTCTTACTAGCACAAGAAAATTCACCCCGCATTCTCTCTCTCTACTAATTTATCAAAGGGTGAGATAGATCTTTAAGTTTATCGATTCATGTGGATATTCAAATTAAAGATTCAAAATTTTTTAGAAATCTTGAAGATTGTTAAAGCACAATTCAAAAGATAACTCTTAATCTTCTATATAGATCTAACGTTTCTTGGTCATATTAAACATAAACAAATCTTGGAATAAGGAATCAATTTTTAATTTTAAATTTCTCTACGTTTATTATATGATTCCTTACACTATTAACTCTAAAAGCTTCCTTTCCATTTTTACGTGTTCTATTAGAGCAGTTGACCCCTCATGAATTTAATTCATCAATTCTTCATAACTTTAATTGATGATAGCTGGTTGAGTTTGAAATCAACTAGGGAATGAAGACGAAAAGAAGAATAACATAGTTACCAAAGCCTGAGTCCTAACTATTTAGGGTCGGCTACACAAATCATATTTCTCCATTGCGCTCTATTAAAGGTCATATGTTCCGTTAGGCCATAAACTATCATTTCTTTTTTTTTTACTTTTTCATTCATAGTTATTTTAGGTGAACAAAAGAATAACATGCCGACAATAGAGGGACTAAAAACTTTGTTAGCCCTGCAAGATCAAAAGAGATCAGTCAAATAGAGAAGATGCGCCTAGGGAAATCCTTCTCTATACAAGTTCTCAGAGAAGGTTTTTGAACATAACTTTGATAGGCGAGAGGTGTAAGCACCGTGAGGTGTGAAGCGATCTCGTACTAAATGAAACGACTTTCACTTTCCATAACCAAAATGAAAGAGAGTCAACCAATTCCTGCAATTGTGGCCAGTCTCGCTACCTCTTCAGTTGCCGCCCCCAAAGTATAAGACAACACTGAATGTATATACCGTCATACAAACCATTTTTATATACACTTTTTGAAGGAGATGGGTAGGAGGAGAAAGAGGAGATAATATGCTTTATGAACTTGGTTTACAGTGAACATGTCATAGTACCTGAGTGAGAGATTTCCAGTCATTATTTGCAGATCCAATATAGACATCCCGATGATCTGATATCCAAACTTTTGCATGTACTACACCCGATCCCCACCACTGACTAAGCAATAATGTGACATTCTTCACATTTGGTCTTCCTGAAGCAAGCTTGGATGGTTCTTCAGTATAATCAGGATACACTCCAGAGTGCTGTAAAAGCCTGAATCAAATTCAATTTAAGAAGTAACAGAGCATGGGAATTTACAAATTATTTAACCTGTTTAGGTAATCTATGGCATTTCATCATGACAAGTCGCTGTTATCTAAACCATAGACTTGGACTTGGGCCGTGCTTTAACAAGCACAAAAGTTATAACCTTACAGTACAATCTCATTTGTCCTATAATGTTACAGCGAAAAAGGGAGAGATGTCTAAAAGTGTTCATTTGTATATTCCCCACCAGATGAGTCATTGGCACCATCATAACCACCAAAATATAAATCAAACAAAAACCAAGCCTTAGGTCCCACTCATTTGGGGTCGCCTATACAAGTCCGTATTCGCCATTCATTTCAGACATGCACTATGCCCTATAAACCACCACAAATGCCACGTAGTAAATTTGTCAACAACTATTGCATACATGCAACCACCAGTACTTCAGTGTATACAGTCATTAGTCTGCTAGTTCTAGAAATAGGATTACGTGATTCCGAAAAGTGTAATCCTTTTCTATTACCAGAATCCAGTGCTCGATAAATCAGCTCATTAAAGAAGGGAAATTCAAGAGTGCTGCACCAGATATTTAATGTCTTTATTAATCCAAATGATTTTCAACAGATTTAATTGTAGCTACGTAGCCTTCTCACCATACTGTTGGAATATAATGGTTGATAAACAATTAAAAAATAAGGCATGCAACTTGAATTAACCCTAAAGTTTAATGCAATTTCTTTTATTCTTTGGTTCCATTTTTTATCACAGGTTCAACAGCTAAAAAGATACCAACCATATCACCAAAAGCTAAATGATGTGAATAATGTAAATTTTACAGTGATTATCCTCAAATCATTTCCCTTTTGAGACAAGCACATTGTCATCTAGTTAATAAGGACATGTGAAAAACTGTACTGGACTGGAAAGTAACTTCATGATTCCGATAATACATTTGCCCTCTGAATTGAAAAGTAAATTGTAAAAATTTCAAGCCATAATTCACAAAAGCATCATCACAATGAGCTGCTAAATTGCAAGTCCTGTGGCGAACTAGTGAGTTTCAATTTTGAACTGTCATGTCATTTATGTGATGTAGCATATAATCCTACAAGAAACTTTAGTGTTCGAGGTTCCCTTCAAATTGTCATAAAAGCAAAGCAAGTGACTTTTATTCATGAACATTTGCAGCTCTCGGACACAGCTTTGCTAATAAATCATGTTGCTTCTACTTTATACAAATGCATACCTGATATTAACATTGCGATCAGCAGCATTTTCTATGGCTTTATAAACACCCAAACCTTCAATAGCACCAAATCTCTGCATATCATCGTTGGAATATCCATAATCTCCAGAATGAGGATTATCAGGGTGAGCTATTAATTGCCAATATTGTGCCATTATGTCAAGATTACGGGAAGAGTTTCTGGCTAACCACCGTAAAACATCCGCTAATAATCATCACCCATGGGAATAAATACAGGAAATATGTTTTAGTAATTGAACCGGAAGAATTAGAAACGAATGTAAAATAAAGAAAAATGCTCGGGAAAAAAGATTGTGATGAAGAATAGGTAGAAAAATGGAGCTTCAAATATGATTTGTGTGTCTTTTGGCTACCAAAAATTATAAATTTATAATATTGATCCTTAACTGAGCCAGATAACTGACAGGTCTACTGAGTGGAGACTCGTGCTTTTCTGGTCACAATTGATATTTTGAACAATTTAGAGATTCAAAATTATTATCTCAATTCTAGCACACATTAATGCATGTAGTATCTGAAAACCATTATCAAAAGAAAAGAACATAAGATACATGCATACCAGTTTTGATATTGTTTTCTTGAAAAGTACTTCAATCTCTAAAATCAAAAATTAGAGAAACTTTTGCATTTACATCATTTTGCCATTGCACAAATTGTTTAAACGAATAATGCAATGAAAGCACCAATTCATACTAGTTTCAATAATGTTTTCCCGAAAAAAGATCTTCAATCTCTGAAATAAGACTTCGGCAAAAGTTTTGAGTTTGCGTCATTTTTGCTATTGCTCAAAATTTTTAGACTAATAATGGTATGAAAGCACTAAAACAGGTTTTCATTATTGATCCCCAAGAAAATTGGCTACTATAGAGATTTTCAGTAAGTTACTTCCAAAATGAGCTGCCAACTTGTCATCTGCCTCTGCCTCATTTCCTATGTTATACATATCCCGGAACATATATAAATAACTTTCAAGAACCGTTCACAGAAGTGCTCTTAAATCTTCAATTCTTTTATACTCTGTAATTTTCCCAGAAAAACATTTTGCTCTATTAAAGGCCATACGCTCTGTTAAATTACAAGCTACCATATTTTCTTAACTGGTACACCTTGACTCCCTCACTATGCGTCAATGTTTGGTCTGTCTTAGAGATTTTGCTTTCCAAGTCCTAAATGTTAGTTTCATCTATGGCACAAAAAAAAAAAAAAAGAAGAAGAAGAAGAATACTTCAGGTATGTTATTGTACTTATAGTTATCGGAACTCCAAACTATGCGGGAACAAGTTGAATAAAACCTATAAACACACTCATGCACGAACACAATTTCTTTATTTTATAGGTGAAATTGTTTTATTTCCAAGAATTTAAAGCCTACTACGAGAACAACTATAAGCCAATTAGGGATAAGACGTGGGTGTCGAGTACGGTACTGAAATATATCAAAGATCAAAATTCAACCTTTTGAGTCAACCGAAAAAATTGTTAGGATCATATTCTTGATCTTAAAATGCCAAATATCAATCCCAACAACCCTCTTTTGCCAAGGGCAATGATTCTGATGCTGGTACTGATTAAGTGGGAAATGCCAAAACTTAGGAACACCTAGATTAACGAGAACTACACGAGCAAGCTGGGCAATGACACTTTTCTTCTAATGTATACTGTAATTTTGAAGAAATCAGAAGAATAGTTACCCGAGGAAAGAACACCGGGGACGAGAGAGAGGTGGGGCATGTCGGTTGGGATTGATTGCACCAGCCAAGCTTTGCATTGACTACGACTATGATCATCATCTGTCGAAGTGTGGGAGTGAGCTTTTATTAGAGAGATGTTATTGTTGGTAACGATTAAGAGGAGGGAGATGATGAGAGAGAGTGTGTCCATCGTTGGTGTCATCCTGTAGAATTTGATTTCATAAGAACTGAGCACTGTGTGTGTGTGTGTGTGTGTGAAAAAGCAGAATTCCGAACGTTGAATTTGGATTTTGGAACCTTGTGGCAGGTTTCGTTGACTATTTCCCAATGCATGGGCTGTTTGTGGAGTAATGGGCTTGAAGGGTTTGGAATGTTGCATGCATTTATTGGGCAAATTTGAAGGAAATAAACCTGTTTGTGCGAACGAAGCGGGAGAGGTCAACAGTAATGGTCCGGTTGATTGCAAGGATAGAAATGAATGGAAAAAATTTTCATCCATAGAGTGAAAGAATATATTTTATCTCATTTGTGTTTAATATGATGGATAAAAAATTGAATGGTTGCATTTTTCTTTATTTGGTATTAGATAAAAAAATAAATGAAAAGAAAAATTATATACCCCAAATTTACTATTATACCCTCAAATCTAATGGGTGAATTTTTCTACAATAATTATCGTAGAAGATTTGGTCACCTCGTATTTATTCGTCCTTTTTTGAGAGAATTATATTTAAACCCCTCGAGATTTATCACTTAATCACTCAAACTGCTTGACATTTAAAATATTATATACATACTCTTTAAAATTTGTACGACCATAACACTTAGACCTTTCCTATAACTATATCAGTTAATAAATTATGTTTAGACCCCCATAAAAATTTATAAATATATAATACTTAGACCCTTTAAGTTTAAAATATTATACTTAGACAAAAAGTATTTCAATCATATATACAATATCAAATATTTTAAATTTTACAACCAAAATTCATGTTCTATTGTATCATTTATTGAAATAAAATCAAAAATAAAATTTACTCATAAAGAAATTCTTTATTTAATTATTTTATATGTATCTAACTAGAAATTATATGTATTTTTTTTCATTATGTACATTTAATTATTAAATCTTCCATTACATATAATAAGTTAAGTTTTAATTATATTATGTGGTAAATACTAAAAATTATATAATTAAAAAAATTAGACCAAAACGATTTCAATTATGGAACTATTAGGAACCAAAAGAAAAAAAGAAAAAAAAAGGGGGAGGGAAATAAATTTTTGAGTCTTATTCCAAGGCCAAAGCCTCACATATTCTTAGCAAAAAAAAAAAGATAGACTCTCAGACATCGATGATGGAGTTTCTGCGATGATGGGGGGTTTGGGAGAGAGAGAGCTGGAGGTCTGGGCGTCCATGCTGGTCGCTAAAGGCTTGCTGGGAGGGATTTGATTTGAGTCTCTGCCTCATCTGCAAGGCTAGGATTTCTGTGATGATAAAGAAGAAGAAGAAAGAGGGGGCTTCTTTGATGATGGTGGTTCGCTGATGGTAGTTCGATAGTGGTTCTACTGAAACAGAGAGTGGTGCGTAAAATAGTTAATTCACAACATTTACCTTCCTCCATTTTCCATCCTCCCTATTTTTTCTCCAACCAAACAGGGGGTAAGGTACATCTCGGAAATAAATTGAGAACGTGGAGAGCTCAATTCGAGCAATAAAATTTTTAATACGGGTTCCATATATTCTTAAATTCAATTTAAACACCATAACCCAAACATTATTCACACTTAAATTCTTACACTCGGGGTTACTTTTATCAAGTTGAAATTTAAATTCAATCGCAAAGTTAACTTTTGGGTTAAATTTTGAAGAAAATTATACTCAAATTTCCTGAGGTTTGCACTTAATCATGTGGGCCTCCTCTGGTATGAAAAATAACACTGAGAGAACAGGAACTTGATATTTTGCTAAAGATATAAATTTACATAAATGACATTTGTTGCCATATCACATTCGTTTGTCAACTCATATGAAGAGAACATTTTCGTTTCCTTTCATTTGATCTCATCTCTATTAGAGAACAGTGTTTTTTGCAGTTCCATTTTCTCAAGCATCAGAGGAGGTTTACTCTTAGAAGATTTGTAATACCCTAAAATTCATCATAAAAGGCATTACTATCTATATAATATTTAATCATGAGAACATCTAATAAAATCATAAACCAATAGAAAATTATTCATGATTCATAGCATCTAAAGTATAGTCCAAAAACCAATATGTCAAATATAGACACTTACATACAAAATCTGAATAAAATATCATTCTCAAATACTAACTAACTACTGAGTGTTGAATGCATTATTCAACTTGACATTTGCCTCAAGGTCCACATCCCCATCAACTTGAGCTTCCCAATTTACCTACTCATCCAAACCAAGCTCCTCTATTTCGCAATCTAAAAAAGATGTTGTTTGTAGAGGGATGAGCACTAAACTCTGGTAACAAAATCCTCCCGAGCTCGAACAAGATTTCGAAAGCATGTAAAAATATTAGTCTCATTTTAAAAAATATTATATACAACTTTTGAAATGAAAATAGTGACAATTCATCAGATCTCAACTTTACATAATAGCAATAAATTAAGTGAAGTAAAACTAACTTTTAAATAACAAACCATTACCAACACTGTATCTCAAGTATGTAGAAGATTTAACATGAATATACATATTAAGAATATCTTGGCACACACCCCCTAATCCTTGCAAGAATACACAACTTTAGGAAGAGAGTACATCAACACATCAACAATGACGAATCTAACCCAGAAATAGTATATTACCTCTCAACCTTGATACCCATGAGCGAATAGTGGTTTGGTTCTCGTAAAAAACGAACCCCACTATGAGTGATAGAGAATTTTCAAACCTACTCAGAACAAAAAACTCATCTACCCACTTTATGATACCCGGCCAACGGTCACCCATGTACATCAAACCATCCACAAAAGAGATATTATACCAAATCAATTCACCAAAACATAGGTAAACCAAGAACCATAATTCCACAAGTATTTTTTCAATGGAACAACTCAAGAAAATATGTAAGAGATCATTAAGAAATATAATTTTATTGTTCAAACCAAACACTAAAATTTTTTCATCAAGAACAATGGAATATTAAGGGTAAAACCTATATTTCTTGAAGACTAGAGTTTTGATAACAAGAACGAGAGTTTTTATGTCTATCAAACAATAAGCTCATTCAAGATATAATACAATTTGTAAGAAAACCAAGAAACAATGATTTCATAACAAATACATACGATTTAGAATCAAAACATACATATATATTAACCCTAACTTCAATGAACAAGTTTTGGAATAAACTCCTACCTTAATTCCTGTAGACTTTGATCCTTATGCATTTTGATGTGATTTAA